GAACAAGAAGCTGCAGAACAGTGAGGATACCACCACTCTGTTTCTGTGAGCAAAAAATGGGTCAAAATGAAGGGAACATTTCCATAAGGATGATGTTTGGGGCACAAAAAATGTTAAAAATGCTTATCTTTGGTGGAATATCATTACCATGGTCTTATACCTTTCTATATTTTTTTCTTTAGCAATGAGCATACATTGCTTTGGGTTTAAAATGTGTATGGGGGCGGTCAAGTCCCTCACCCCCATGCTGAGGTGGGAATCAAGCAATGGGTCTGAAGAGGCAGAAGGGATACAGGAGGTGGAGGCAGAGCCTGGGTCTGGGCCTTGGCCATGGGGTGACTGTGGGCAAACTACCTGTTCACTGCAGGAGAAATGCACTTTCGGCCTTGTCTCTACTTGTACTTGTGGAAGGAAGCTCTCGGCCAGCACCCGCCTCATAGGATCAGAGGGTTTTGTGGTGAAATAAAAATACGTGTATGTCCTGGAAGGCCCCCAAAGCTCTCTGGACAGGTCAGTTTTGTCCTCGCACTGCTGCTTGACTCGTTTGCAGTTCTGGGTGGTGACTTCCACCCCAGACAGCTTTCCTAGCTGCCCATAGCCCACTTTACTTACGGAGGGGCCCGTCTTCTTGGATCTGTGGATTCCGTAAGTAAGTCTCCTGAGCCCTTGGTTTCTAACAGCTGTTAACCTTCATTCAGCATCTTGGACATTTTTCACACTCTCTGCTGGTAGCTTTCTCTGTGAGTTAATTTGTGGGAAGGAGAAAGGGAAGCTGTCTGCCCCTCGGCCTGCCCTGAGGGAGGGCCACAGAGGCCTCCTTTGAGGAAGGTAAATGAGGGCTCCAGGTTGGCCAGCTCCTCCGCCTGCCCTGGAGGCCCAGCCTCTCTCCAGAGGTGCTCCTTTGCTGCTCCTGCCTCCTCCTCGGTGGGAATACAGGTTATCGATTCAGAAATTAACAGTCACCTGCAGGAGGATGAGCTGGGCCAGGGGCCCAGGACACAGCCAGGGGGCCCAGGACACAGCCAGGTGGCAGGTGCTTTTTAACAACCCCACCCACCTCCCGGGAAACAGGCCTTCCAGATCTTTTTAAATTTCTCCCTCCCAGTCTGCAAAGGGAAGTCTCTACCCTTTAAGAGCTCAGACAGCATAATTTCCTTTTCGGTGTTATCTTTGTGGTCGAGGGACCACACGCACAAACTCTCAATGCTAGGCCAGTGCCCTACCTGTGCAGCACCCAGGACAACATGTATCTCATCCCCTTCATCAGATGGGGGACCAGAACAGGCTTGTTGTCCCCCCACCCCAGTACAGGAGATCGAACCCACGGGATCTCTACCACTGAGCCACATCGCCAGCTCTTTTTATTTTTTATTTTGAGACAGGGTCTCACTAAGTTGTTGAGGCTGGCCTCAAACGGGCAATTCTCCTGCCTCAGCCTCTGGAGTCCCTGGGATCATAGGAATGGGCCATCCCGCCAGCTTGGAAGGCATATAAGTCGAAGGCCAGCAGAGGAAGCAGCTTCTGTCCAACTCAAGCCATGTAGAACCTCTACCCTCCCAGCTGCCTTCGAACTTCTATCCTCCCAGCTTCCTTTGGAGGCCCTTCCTGAATACCCTTCAGGGTCATTTTTGGCCAGCAAAGGGAAACACAATAACAACCTGTTGAAATAATCACATCCAAATATGTAAGACTGCACGTCCATGTATGCATATGTAATCTGTTATTCAAAGAATTGTAATTGTAGAATCTCAGGGAGGTTCAATGACCATCCAGGGTCTTCCCCACAGGTCCCCACAGAGTGAAAAACAGATGGGACATCTCCCTTTTCTTGAGCCACGGGAATAAGAAGGTGTCCCTCTGCTTGCAAGTCACGGCTCCCTCAGTGAACTTGATGCCAGCTGCCCTCTGCCTGCTCCAACCTGTCATATGAACACACGGCCAGTGAAACCCCACATCATGTTCAACCACAATCCTGTGAGCCAGTGTCACTCTGCTCCCCAAGTCCCTCAACATTCCAGATTCCCACCAAGTTAAGCAGACAAACGCCGCAGCACTACTTCCTTTGGAGACATACCCAGTCCCCTCCCATGCCCCAGGCTCTCCCAGCAACCTGCACATATAGGTACATAACAAATCATTTTTAAATTCTTCTTGGTTCTTATTAGATATTCATGACAGTAGAGTGTATTTTGACATGTTATACACACATGGAGTGTAACTTCCCATTCTCCTGGTTGAACATGATGTGGAGTTTCACTGGTTGTGTATCCATATACAAATACAGGAAAGTTATGTCCAGTGCATTCCACTGTCTTTCCTATTCTCCTCCCCTCCCTTCCCTTCATCCCCCTTTGTCTAATCCAAAAAGTACTTTTACACACACACACACACACACACACACACACAGCTTATTCTGTGCACACAACCAAATCTTGACCCTGGGTCAGGCACTGTGTTTGTCCATGTGGCCTTGACCCCAGAGTGGACTGAGCCAGGGTCAACACCTGATCTGAGCTACGTAGTGGCACCCTCCCCTCAAGAGTGTGGCAATGAGACCTTGAACCAGGGCAGCTTGGCCCCTTGGCCCCTTGGCAGCTGCAACTGGCCCATTCTCATGGAAAAACAGAGTTTGCTCCCTGAAGGGAGAAAATGAAGCCCTTGAATGAGTCTCTGGGAACAAGACAAGAAGTTCACCCCATTGCTCGGGGCCTCCTG